CATAGGCTTAAATTAAAGCTGACAGCCAAAATACTGAAAATTGTGTCTCTGTCCAAATACGTAACGTCTGTTATATACAAGAAATAGTGTGTGTTTACATTTGAGCCAAATTATTTCTTCAAAAGCACTTGTTTCTGTTTGTGGGTTGATGCCCCGATATCATGCCATGGAAAGATAGCTTTCTGGTGCTGAACAAACATTAGACCAAAGTACAGAACTAAATTACAAAAGTGTACATGGGCACAGGATGCTGTATAGTCATGGGGATTGGGCCAGAAGCCTATGCCAGTCCATCACAGGGCACAAGGCAGAGGTTCACTGGGCAGGATGGCAGTATGAGATCCAGAGTTCCTGGGTTAAGGGGCAGCGTGTGGTTCAGTGGGCTAAGCCTGTGTGCCTGTAATCACAAGGTCGCCGGTTCAGCCTCAGCACATCTGCGGCTCCTTGCCCTTAACCCCCAGCTCCCTGGGCGCCGCTACGGGTGGCTGCCCTTCGCGGACAACTTACTCCACAAAGAGCAAGTTGAGGGAGGCGTAAAGACAATTTCCCCACAGGGATTAATAAAGTATCAATTATTATCATTATTATTATTATTATTATTATTGTTATTCCTCTGCCCTGTGCCCTGGGCTGTCTGGGAGAGGCTCTCTGTACTCAGTCAGCCGCTGGAAGGTAGATAGGCACCTTCTAGGGGTCTTTGGTGGTGAAATGTTATCTAACATGAAAGCAGAAATCTGCATGTCAGGCTCTGAAAGCACTGGGGGTGGCAGTGACCTGCATCAGGCTCACAGGAAACTCAGAAACCTGGAGTTTTGCCTTTTAAGAGAAGTAGCACCTATAATAGTATTTTATGCATTAACATGGACCAAAGTGTTCTTTTGTGTTGAATGGATAATTTAAGTTAGTGGTTCTCAGTCCTGTTGCTGGTGCCTCCCCCGCTAGATTGTTTTCATTCCAACCTCACCTTAATCAGCCTCAGATGGTCCTTAATGGGCTAATAATGACTGTGACAGGTTGAAAGGAGTGTGGGTTGGAATCCAAATATTCTGGCAGCAGGGGCTCTAGGAACAGGATTGAGAATCACTGATTTAAGCTGTATATATTAAATACTGTGAAACTAATTCACAGAATGTATACCATATAATTTTCTATAAGCCTAAATAAAGCATTAATGCAGAAAAGATCACAAGGTCATTCTGTTTCAGCACAGCGTTACTTGGCCCATCAATTGTAATATGATTGTAGCAGAGTTAAGGTCATACTGTACCATCAGGAATGTTTGGTGCAAATTAAGAAGCATGCACTACCAGCAATGTGTCCTATTGATATTTCTTCCTTGATATGTGTTAGATATTTAANAGTTGTAAAGGGTTTTTCTATAAAGTTGTTTGGTATTTATTATAATAATGTATGTATAATGTTATTTCTGATAATGTAGGCTTTGGCACACCTAATGTTTTCTCTGTGTCTCGGATTGATTTTTCCTGACTTTTCAGCCTCATGATGGCATGCTTTACTGACATTGACACCTATTTGGTCCTCATATTGAGTGACAATAGCAACAGGAATTAAAATACCATACTAGGCTTTTTATCAGCCTATCAATTGTGTATTAATTGATGATGCAGTAACATACATCTGGCCAAGGAACAGCTAAACAGATAATTGGCCAAATATTTTCCTCCCTTGCAGTAGGGGGGGTACGTATAGAAAACAGAATTCTAAAAGTTAGAAATCTCACACAGATCACCCAACATAGCTGTTCATAGGCTTAAATTAAAGCTGACAGCCAAAATACTGAAAATTGTGTCTCTGTCCAAATACGTAACGTCTGTTATATACAAGAAACAGTGTGTGTTTACATTTGAGCCAAATTATTTCTTCAAAAGCACTTTGTTTCTGTTTGTGGGTTGATACCCCGATATCATGCCATGGAAAGATAGCTTTCTGGTGGTGAAGAAACATTAGACCAAAGTACAGAACTAAATTACAAAAGTGTACATGGGCACAGGATGCTCTATAGTCATGGGGATTGGGCCAGAAGCCTATGCCAGGCCATACAGGGCACAAGGCAGGGAAACACTGGGCTGGATGGCAGTGTAGGATCCAGAGTTCCTGTGCCCTCTTCCCTGGGCTGTCTGGGAGAGGCTCTCTGTACTCAGTCAGCCGCTGGAAGGTAGATGGGCACCTTCTAGGGGTCTTCAGTGGTGAAATGTTATCTAACATGAAAGTTAAGGTTTGTGCAGAAACCTGCATGTCAGGCTCTGAAAGCAGTGGGGGTGGCAGTGACCTGCATCAGGCTCACAGGAAACTTGGAGTTTTGCCTTTTAAGCGAAGTAGCACCTATAATAGTATTTTAGGCACTAACATGGACCAAAGGAACCTTGTATTGAATGGATAATTTAAGCTAGTGGTTCTTGGTGCCCCCCCACTAGATGAGTGCGGGTTGGTTGATTTAAGGTGTATATATTAAATACTGTGAAACTAATTCACAGAATGTGAATATAATTTGTATCTTCTATGAGCCCAAATAAAGCATTAACACAGAAAAGATGACAAGGTCATTCTGTGTCAGCACAGTGTTACT